CTAGCCCATTTTCTTAGAATATTTAAGTGTGTATATTTACTTTTATCTATCTCGGAACATACAAAAATTGTGATACTTTTTTATGATATATCATTATATAAATAAATAGATATATACGAAGTACATAAGTATGGGACAACGAGACGGAACAGAAAAATATTTATGTGTCTGAATCTCGTCCCATTTAAAAACGGTTTGGAACAAGTTCCGGATAAACATTTATCATCCCAAACAAAACGAAACATTATAGGGACGAGACCGAAACTTTTCGGATCGAGACAATGAGAACGAGATTCTTGCCCACCCCTATCAACCACAATGAATTAAAATATATTTGCGCAAAATATTATCTACATCTGAGAGTGTTTGTCCAGTTTTAATACGGAGTATTTTTAATATCAAAATTAATACACTTTGACCATTAATTAAAAAAAACTAATGTTCCATATTGATATAACAATAATTAGATCTATGTTATAAAAACTTTCAAAATATATTTTATCTCTTTAGTATATACGGAGTACTCCATATCATTTACGAAGTAATTATATGTCAAAAGTCAATCCTGTTTGAATACAATTAGTAAAAATTAAACTAGACAAAGACTCTGAATTAGAGCGAGGGTAACACGATAAACTTTAATTTTTTTAAAAAAAGAGTATGAATTTGTATGGTGTTGACCACTACTATGAAGTAGAGAGTATATATTTGGTGAAATACTTTTCATCCTTGAATAATCTTCTTTCTTTTATTTTTAGTACATCCTAAATAGTCCCATTTTATAACGGGAGAAATAAGAATATAGCACTTTAATAGGCTTATAATACGCAAAATAGGAGTGCTATATTGATTAGAGAGATGTGGTGATGATGATCGCCGCTGCTAATCGGCAAAGGAATCACTGGTAATGGAGTGAAGACGTAGACGAAGAAGACCCGCGTAGGTGGAGGCGCACGAGTGCAGTAATTGGACTCCTTCAATAACCTAATTTTAATGAAAAAAATAAAAAGGGATAAAGGGTATGATAGGAAGGGTTTGACACCATAAATAGCTAAGTTTGTAAAAAACAATGGGTAGTGCTAAATGCGTATTTCTGGGGGAATTAGAGTGCTATGTAGGGTGTTTTCTTTTTTATAACGTCTATTTCGGTTTACGATGTTTGACTGAAATTATTTTCAAAGCATTTTATATGACAAATGGTATATAATTAAAAAATAAAAAATACATATTAAAAAACTACATCAAAAGATCTACAAAACTAGTAGTGACAATAATATTTTATTTTATCAAATTGCTAACGAAAATAGAGAAAGGAAGTGAATGAAGTTTGACCCTGTGAATAGTAAACATGCATTATAATTTGGGACGGAGAGAGTACAATATGTGGTTAAAGTTTTTTTTATCTTCTTATCAATTTTTAACTAGGGAGTACTCCCTCCGTCCCGTTTTAAATCGTCTGTTTTGACTTTTAGGCATATTTAAGGAAAAGAAAAAATAGAGTTGATTTTCCAAAATTGCCATTACTTTTTAGGAGGGGTGACGATGAATTAAAAGATAAGGTGAAGAAGAGTGACTTATTTTAGAGATAGTTTAGGTATTTTATTTTTAAAAGTTTACGAAAATAACTAACATGCAACTTATTTTGGGACGGAGAAAAAAGACCAACAAGCAACTTAAAATGAGACAGAGGAAGTAGTATTTAAGGACGAAAAAAGTACATTTAGCAATTCATTTTATAGTTAACCCCATAGAGAAGATGGGGTGGTATGATGTGCAAATTAAGAATTTAATACAGCATTTGTTTGGTGAGGAAGCAGTTGATTCAATTGTTGGATCACAAATCACAACTGTGAGCCCTAAATGCAGCTACTGCAACACCTAATGACCAAATAAATCATAATTTATCTTCATCAATCATCAGGTTAGTCTTCAAAAAAAAAATCACGTACAATTTTTATCCGTTCTACAAAAACATTTTCTTTCTTAATTAAAACCTTACTTTTATCCCTACTACTTCCTCCGTCCTAAAACTTTCTTCCCAGAGCACTATTCCAACTTTACGGGAATTTATATTTATTTGTGTTTTTTCATGGCCTATATGATAAAATAAAATATTCTTGTCACCATTTGTTTTGTTGAAATTTTGATGTAGTTTTTAAATATGTATGTTTTATTTTTTATTTCTATACCAATATTTAAATAAAATAGATTGAAAAAATTTGAAATTTTTCTTCGTTTTACGCAACGGGAAGAAAGTTTTAGGACAGAGGGAGTAGTTACATTCTCAGGCCCTCTCGGTTGTATATGTGATTGGGTATATAAAATATTCATCTTTTTTTACTTCAACCTGTTTTTTCAATAGTTTGACAGCATTATGCAAGATTATTCTGACTTAATTAGGATCGATTTTGGGGCAACCCGGAAGCTTGCTAGATAGGGGTGTGCATTATTCGGTCCGGACCCGGACCGACCCGAAACCCGGCCAAAACCGGACCGGACTGGTCCTTATTCGGTCCGGTCATCGGTCCTCAATTTTTCCTTATTCAGGTTCCGGTCCGGTCCACCGGGTTTCGGTCCGGACCGATGGACCGGTTACATTTTATTTTTATAAATATTTTTTCTATATAGTATTATAATATTGTATTTTTTAAGGTTTTTTCTTATGCCTAAAACTAGTTTAACTTTAATACTAATTTTTTTTAAATGTTTTGATTTTATTATTTAATATAGTTTTTAAAATACATTTTCAATTCAAAATAAGATACCAATTCTAATGATTTTTATATATTTTAAATATGAAAAGTGTGAAAAAGTAAACATTACCTTTATATTAACGATCTAATGCATTTCAAATTTATATACCAATACTATCACTTAAATTTGTACTTTATCAATAATGAAACGATAATCCGCAAAAACAAACATTGTAAACAATCTCATGAACAAAAATAGTAAAAACTGTATTCGTTTGTCAAAATAAATCGAAAACTCAAAAAAATATTACAAAAAAGCAAAAATGAACCAAGAAGTAGAATATTCTCTATGTAAAATAAAAATTACGAACAAATTTTACGTAATACGGATGGAAGATATATATTTTGTTTAAAGTTTTTTTAAAAATTCAAAACAAATGTGTTTGACAATGTTTAGAGTATGTTACAATTAAAAATTAGTTGTAGTAATATTTTTATTCAATTGAATACTTTAAATTAAACAAATAAAATCAAATTTTAAAAAAAATAAAAATAACATTTATTCGGTCCGGTCCCGGTTCCGGTCTGGGCCGGTCCTTAGCTTAATCGGTCCGGTCCTCAGTCCACCAAATGCCCCTTATTCGGTCCCGGTCCGGTCCGGGCCGGGTTTGACCCGATGAACACCCCTATTGCTAGACATTTAAGAAATATTTCCACTGCTCTGACTTTAATTTTTACATACGGAGTACATTTGACCTGACACAATTATTTAAAAATGCATAGTTGAGTGGTTAAAATTACACTTGACAAAATTAATCCAACATATTTCTAACTTTGAGATCTCACTTGAAATTATTAGATTTTGAACAAAGTTTTAATGATTGAACTTGAAGATAACCGAACGTGAAATTACTTGCTAGAAATTAGTCAAACTCAACCGATCGCGAACATGACTTGAGTAAACCTCTAAGGAAATGTTGATACAAAATCATGTACTACTTTAATCGAGTCAATAATACTAAAGAAAATTCGAATATAAAAAAAATATTGTGAAATTTTAATGTAGAGTGTGAGTCCTATTTCTTTAAAAAAATCAAAGCAAACCCAGAAATCGGGCGAAAGGGAGCAATCTGCTTCTCCCAATTCTGAATTGAGTACAAGTTCATCGTCTGAAGCGTCAAGAAAGGCTAACAATGCCCAAAAAACGGGGCAGGTTCATTTGGCAGACAAAGCTCCTACAACAACTGCAATGCTTTATAGCCAGCCTCCCCTCCTATAGAAGAATTTCTTGTCGAGCCTCTCAGTCACTCTCCCCTTTGCAAGCACAAATTGGCTAAGCGGAAATGGGAATTGAGAAAGGCAAGGCAGTGTTGCTGGACCTTATACAGAAATCCGGCGGTTGCGCCGTTCATAAAATTGACGGTTCCTACCCCCTAACCCCCACGATAAACCCCCCACCCGGCCCCGCCCCGAACACACCCCCCACCCCTTCAATTGCACCCCACAAGTTGATTTTGACTTTAGAGTCAAATTTTGACTCCAAAGTCAAAATCAACTTGTGGGGTGCAATTGAAGGGGGTGGGGGGGACCGGGGGTGTGTTCGGGTCGGGGCCTGGTGGAAGGGTTTACCGGGGGTAGGAACCATCAATTTTACGAACGGGGCACCAAAGCGTCCCCGGGTCATCCCATGACATTAAGGTTCAATGTCACTTGAACCTTCCCCATAAAATATTCATCTTTTTTACTTCAACCTGTTTTTCAATAGTTTGACAGCATTATGCAAGATTTTTCTGACTTAATTAGGATCGATTTTGGGGCAACCCGGAAGCTTGCTAGACATTTAAGAAATATTTCCACCGCTCTGACTTTAATTTTTACATACGGAGTACATTTGACCTGACACAATTATTTAAAAATGTATAGTTGAGTGGTTAAAATTACACTTGACAAAATTAATCTAACATATTTTTAACTTTGAGATCTCACTTGAAATTATTGGATTTTGAACAAAGTTTTAATGATTGAACTTGAAAATAACTGAACGTGAAATTACCTGCTAGAAATGGGTCAAACTTAACCGATCGTGAACTTGACTTGAGTGAACCGCTAAGGAAATGTTTAATTGAGTCAATAATATTAAAAAAAATTGGAATATAAAAAAAATATTGTGAAATTTTAATGTAGAGTGTGAGTCCTATTTTGAATGATTATTCTTTAAAAAATTCAAAGCAAACCATGAAATCGGGCGAAAGGGAGCAATCTGCGTCTCCCAATTCTGAATTGAGTAAAGTTCATCGTCTAAAGCGTCAGGAAAGGCTAACAATGCCCAAAAAACGGGGCAGGTTCATTTGGCAGACAAAGCTCCTACAACAACTGCAATGCTTTATAGCCAGCCCCCCCTCCTATAGAAGAATTTCTTGTCGAGCCTCTCAGTCACTCCCCCCTTTGCAAGCACAAATTGGCTAAGCGGAAATGGGAATTGAGAAAGGCAAGGCAGTGTTGCTGGACCTTATACAGAAATCCGGCGGTTGCGCCGTCGTAGACGGCGGCTTCGCCACCCAGCTCGAGCGCCACGGCGCCTCCATCAACGATCCCCTCTGGAGCGCTCTTTGCCTAATCAAAAACCCTGATCTCATCAAACGGGTACCCATATATCAATTGTTTTTCTTACACTCTTAATAATGTAAGTACCATTTCCGTGTTAAATCGAATCTATCTGTATTTTGTTCTGATTGGTTACTATAGAAATTCGATTACGAGCAAAGAATAAAGAAAATTTCAAGAAATAAATCAAATCAAGGGGAAAAGAGCAATGCCATTAAAGAAAATATGGAAAAAAAAACCATGTACTTGCTATAAAATGTAAATTTGATGTTTCCCATAAAGAAAATATGAAAAAAATGTGATTATTGGTAGCTGTATGTCGACTGTTTGAGTTAACTTTTGGGGTTGAATTGGGTCCAAGTTTGTTATTTCTCAAAGTAATGTTACGAGTAGAATTTAATGCTAACATGATAAACTTGTAGCGGTCGAGGAACTAATGTGTTCTTGTCACTTGTCAGGTGCATTTGGAGTATTTAGAAGCCGGGGCAGATGTATTAGTGACTTCATCTTATCAGGTTCGAAGTGTTTATCATCAACGTAGAATTGATGATAAACGCCGGGTTCGAAGCGTTTCTCATCACTTTTATAGAATTGATGATTTATGGAAATGTTTGTAGAGATGGAGAATATAACTTTGTTCTAACACTTTGAAGAATAAGCATTCGTCTCTGAGTTATGCAGGCCACTCTTCCTGGGTTCTTGGCGAGGGGGTTTTCGTTAGAAGAAGGCGAGTCGCTGCTAAAGGGAAGTGTACATTTGGCTATACAAGCTCGAGACAAGTTTTGGGAAACTGCAAGACGAAACGGAAAGCGGGGATATAACAGGGCTCTAGTTGCAGCCTCCATTGGAAGCTATGGAGCTTACCTTGCTGATGGTTCAGAGTACAGGTACTTTCTTGTCCCTACATGTGTGTGTGTTATGTTGCAGCAGATTGTGATCCCTAAAGTGTTGTGTCCTTCCCAGGGGTAACTATGGACCTGAGGTGAGCCTTGAGAAATTGAAGGATTTCCATAGGCGCAGACTGCAAGTGCTCGTGGAAGCAGGGCCAGACTTGTTGGCGTTTGAGACCATCCCAAATAAATTAGAAGCCCAGGTTGGTGTTATAGTATATAACATTTTAAAGAAATCTATCTTGCTAGGAGTAAAACATAGAAAAAAACACTAAAATAAGACTATTGCCCTGTGCCAATTTGGCATTGTATATAGGTGTTTCATACTACTTTTTCGCATTATAGATTGATACTATTGGCACTGTAACTCCTATTTTGGGGTTAAAAACATAAATCCTTATTTTGATACTTTCTCCAAATTTTCCAACCTTTTAAGCTACGACCACAAAGGCTCTAAGAAACAATTATCAGTTCCCATTTTTTTGTCGCCGGTCGCCGCCAAAACGAAAGTTGGAGACGAGGTGATTTCGGAGTCTCCAAAAGAGGCGTAGTCAATAGAGTGTGACGCGGCGGAGCCAAGAAATTGGTTGTGGCATCGGGACTGTGCAACTAGATCGCGATAGTGTCGTAAACACGAGGAGCCTCCTTGGTTAGTCGAACGTGCCTAACCATTTTTGGGTTTTCCGTATCAAATCTCGAACCTCTGTGGCCCATTTCACCCATGGCTGGCGCCTGACTCCCATCAACTTCTAATCACCCATCGTCATGGCTTCCGCCTCCGCGGGCGACTTCTTCCCCCTCTTGTTGTTCTTCTTGTCAAGAGAAGAAACAATCTTCTTCTCTAGCTTAACTTTGCTCACATGCTTCTTGGTGGTCTACCAGAAAACACTATCCTCATCCTCGTTATCAGACGGTGGCGGGGTCATCGGTGAAGGAAATCCTTATGACCTGAGGCATATTAGAAGCCAATTATCCATTTTCTAGCTTCTTCACAGTGACACTATTCTCTTTTTAACCAAAAGAGCATCATTGTTTTCTTCATTTGTGATCTTTAACTTTCTTTACAATAGAATCTCAAAATGATGTAAGAAAAGATTTGAGAGAATTCTGAACTATTTAAAATGAAAATTTATAGAGTTTAAGGGGGTGGTTAATGTCTCTAATTGAAGAAGTAAACTAATACTTCAAGAATGTGAGATTATTAACGATTGTACTTATGTTTATTCTAAATTCTTTTATCTTCTTTTTTTTTATTGAAATTTACTCATATTAAAAAATGTTGAAAAATTAAAAAAAATTAGAATTTTATGAGGAGAGAATTTTCATAACTGTATAATTTTTTCAATTTTTAAAAAAGTGAAGATTATATTCAGATATCCAAAAAAATGGAAGTTTATTTAGAGTCGGATAGAGTTATTTTTTGTATTGTAAAAATGGTTAAATTTGTTTTACTCTTAATTTTTAAAATTTATTTTGTCCACATGAAAATCTATTTCAATAAGTTTTTAAAATGAGTTAGGTGAATGTGTTATCCACACCAAATTTAAAAGTGTATAACTCATTCAACTAACTTGGAACATTTTAAAAACTTATGAAACAGATTTTTAAGTGGACGAAACTACTTTTAAGAATTAAAATAGTAAATTAAATTTAATAGTTTTTACCATATGAAAAAAAATACTTTTTTCCGTCTCTAAATAAGCTCCCGTCTTTCTTTTTTGGATATCTAAAAATAATCGTTATATGGCTAAAAAACCCTCTATTTATAAAATTTTCCTTTTTACTTTTCAACATTTCAAATTTCAATAGGAAAACAAGATAAAAAGAATCTTGGATATAAGTATGATCCTCAATTATCTCACATTCTCCCAGTATTCGTTTATCTCCTCAATTAGAGTCATTAACCACCTCTATAAACTCTATAATTTTTTGTTTAAAAAATCGCAAAACTCTCAAATCCTTCTTACTTCAGTTTGAGATTTTATTGTAAAAAAAGTTAAAGGAGATGGCACATAGAGGATAATAATGATGCTCTTCTTGTTAAATACAGAGTCGAGATTGGCCTCCAATATGCCTCGGGTCATAGGGATTTCCGTCATCGATGATGACGACACTCGCAAATTGTTTGATGACGTGGAGAAGGATGGCATTTTCCGGCGGACTACCAAGTAGCACGTGAGCAAAGACAGGCTGGTGAAGAAGAAGACTGCTTCTTCCTGTCACACATTGCTTTACTACGACTTCACTTCGAAATCACCCCATCTTCCACTTCCATTATGGTGGCATGTGGAGGCGACAAGAAATTGGAAGTATTAATTGTGTTTTAGAGGGTCTGACCGCAAGGCTGGAAATGATTAGCAGGCGTGCTAGAATTTAGAAAAATCTTTCTTGGACCCACAATCACAAAGCTTGAGCTTTTGGTTGAGCTGGATTTTTAACCCGTGCTAGACAATAAAACCTTTTTGGGGTTGCAATCACAAACTTAAGCTTTTGATTGACTTGATTTTTTGACATGGTATCAAAAAGCCTTGTTGATCTAGAGGTCACGACTTCAAAACCTCACAACCACCCAATTTTTAAAAAATCAATTTTCACGCACAACATTTGAGCAAAAACAAATCGCGTCTGCACGCGAGAGAACGTGTTAAAAACCTTTTCTGGAGCTACTACAGCCATAAATTTGAGCTTTTGTTGAGTTGGTTCCTTGACACTTGCAACCACAAGCTTAAGTTTTTGGTTGAGTTGATTCCTCGACCCGAGCCGTACCGACCAAGAGGTCACGAAGTCAAACTTCACCGCCACAAAAATTCATGTGCAAGGCTCGAGAAAAAATTGCACTTCAAGGGGGCGTGTGAGAGTAGGTAGGTAGGTAGGTTGAAGGTAGAAGTAGAACACTTGTTTTGATGTTAGAGTAGTAAAATGATGATGATGATGATGACAGGCTTGCATAGAGTTGTTGGAGGAGGAAAATGTTGAAATTCCGTCATGGATCTGTTTCAGCTCGGTAGACGGTGAGAATGCTCCTTCCGGGGAAAACTTCAAGGACTGCCTTGATGTTACTAACAAGAGCATCAGAGTTGCAGCTGTCGGTGTAAACTGCGCACCTCCTCAGTTTGTTCTCCCCCTCATCCACAAGTTTAAGCAGGTGGGTGGTAAACAGTCTTGAGTCAAGAACATGAAAAACACACACACACACACACACAAGATTTCTATATCCTGTTTTGTTTTTGTGCCTGTCTGTGTACTTGATGCAAATTAAACCTGCAATGGTAAATAATGGTGCAGATGACTGAGAAGGCAATTGTTGTGTATCCTAACAGTGGTGAGATATGGGATGGCATACAAAAGCAATGGCTGGTGGGTGGTGTTGGTGCTCATGACTCCCAATATTAAAATTCACTTGATTGAATTCTCAGAATGATCCTTTATAATAATAGGGTATTTTTCCCAAATCAGTCTTCAATAAACAATAATTACTTGCGTATTGTTTTATAATTCAGATTTATTCCTTAAGTAGTTCTCCGTAAAAAAAAGTCCATTAAATGATTATTCAGTATTGTGTATTTTGGTAATGTTTTTCCCAAACCACCCTCATTACCATATCTTCGCAATTATCGGAGGACTATCGTGGGGAAAAAATCTCAGTAAATATCACGTAGATAGTTACTGTTTATTAATTATTATCGATGGAAAATATCTCAACCGTATGTATTTACTGCTTATTGAAGACTGATTTGAAAAAAAACACCTTACTAGAAATAACTATTTTAGAAATTTACGCACTACAGATTTCTCTTCTTCGTTAATGTATGTAAACGTGCGCGTATGTTTTTTTTTCTTTCTCCCCCAAGCAGCATTCGAAATGTTTTGACGACGAGAGGTTTGGGGAAGACGCCCTTCTATGGCGTGAAGCGGGAGCCAATCTCATAGGGGGCTGCTGTCGGACGACGCCCTCCACCATTGAAGCTATTGCAAGAGTCCTCAAAGAACAACACTGATCCCCTTCTCATTAACTTGGGGGTGTGAATTAATCTACAAAGTGTCATGTAAAAAAAAAGGAAAACAAATGTTTCTTCTCTTCCTATATATAAATAAAGTGTCTCCAAGTACTGCCATATGGGGGGTGTACCACTTTAATTAATATTTCATCCTCCCAAAAATATTTTTGAAGTATTTGAAATTCATTTATTTAATAATTCGTATAGAAATTTTAAAAAAAAAAACTTACATTTTTTAAAATATGGTCACTTAACCAAGTATGATAAATATTAAAGAATGACACTTGGGGGCATATGTACATTTCTTTTGAAATTTAAAAGGAAACAACCAACAAAGAAAGAGAGACACATGGTGTAACCCATTCATTCAACTAAGAGCATGTTCTTTAGGACTGAAAAAAAGCTAGATATTGGAAGAAATTAGAAAAAACTAGAAAGAACTGTAAGAAACTAGAAGGAACTGAAAGAAACTGGAAAGAATTGGAAGAAACTAGAAGAAATGGGAAGAAATTGGAAAAACTTCAAAAAAAGTGGAAAACCTAAAAAAACTTTTAAAAAAATTATTTTAGTGTATTTTTATATTATTCTGATTCTAATTCTTGTTGTTATAAACTATTATTATTATTATTATTAATAATATTATTATTATCATCATCATCACGTTATCTTAATTAAATGTCTTTAAGATAAAAAAAGTATTGTTATTTTTCAAATACAAAAAAACTATTTTTACAAAAAAATAATTATAATATAAAGATATCATAAATATCAAAATGTTAAATTTTAAAAAGTTTTTGTGGTTACATTGCACATCAATTTATTTATGCAGTATTTATTATAAATAATATTTTTGTACTTATACTTTATATATTACAAGATTTTGTTTTAAATATCAGAAATGTCACAAAATGTAATCAAACCTATTTTTTCTTTCATGATTGACATTTTATTTTCATTGGAAGTCCTAATTTTAGAATAAAGACATAGAACTTTTTTTACTTTTTTATGTTTTACTCATATTTTAGTCTTTTTCCCTAAACTATTTTGACTTTCAATTTCTTTAATAAAAATTTAAAAAAATGAGAAAACTTTGAGTAATAAAGGGAAAAGTGAGGGGTCTTATATAAAGTTAGATTAATAAAACATTCTATGTAACTATTTTATCCATAATTTTTTTAATATAGTTTAAAATATTAATATTTTTCTGTTTTATCATGTAGATTAATATACAAAAAAAATTTCTTATTCATATTAAAAAGTTTAAAAAATAATGAGTGGGAATCGTAAAAACAGTGAGATGAAATTTTTTTTATAAACTATAATTATGAACGTAACAGTTGTAATAATAATAATCACATTAAATATATACTGTTTTTAGAGTAATTGGTTGTGGGGTAGAAAGAGTTTGAAGAAAATGAGAATTGTAGGAAGAAACTAGAAGAAACTTGAAGGATCTGAAAGAAACTAGAAGGAACAAGAAGAAACTGAAAGGAACTGGAAGTTAAGAGTTTAAGTCCTAAATAACAAGGTCTAACTCCCCATCAAATTTCTACAACATAATTCAGAAATACTCCGTAATATAAAACTTTCAAATTACAAAGTATAAACGAACAACGAAAACTTTAGAAATTGATTACATGCCCTATTTAAAAAATCCAACAGGGGATATATTAAGAGGGTGTTTGGGAGTATGTTTGAAAATAGCTTGTGAGCTTCTACTTTATTGAAACACATTTCTAACACTATGTTTGGTTCAAGGAATTGAGGAAGAAAGGAAAATGATAAGGAAAAGAAAAGAAAAGAAAGGAAATTCAAAATTCTAGTTATGTTTGGTTAAGATGTAAATGGATGAGGAAAATGTATTCTCATGCTCTTTTTGTTTGGTTAGAAGGAAATTTGCCCATATTACCACATCTCCTCTAACAAACTGAGATGGAACACACACGAGGTAGGAAACCTGAGCAGCATTCACAACACAGTGAAGAAGACGACACATAACACAATGCCACTTTCAAATGAGCCAAGAACCACAAATGCAAGCAAACAAATTCATCTTCAAGCTACCCTTAAGCTACAGAGAAAGAATAGCACAAGCAACAAGGCCCAAACCGTCCTAATTACAGTAGCACAAGAAACCTAGAAAATGAACAGTGTCACGAAGAGCAAAATCAAGGAGGCCAAAACAAGTTTATTGAATCAAGAATCCAACACAAGTTAATGGAAGGCCCATGAATCATGACCACAATACCCAAAAATGGAGGCAAAAGGAGGAGAGGACCATGGTTAAACACTTAAACCTGGACTGCAAATCCCCGCTGTGAACAGTGACTCGAATCCAAGTTTTGGCTCAAATCAAAGGATCTTCAATTGGAATGGAAATCCAACTTAAGAACTTGAATAAGCATCCCATGTCGCTCAGAAACTCCCACAAATTTGCCTCGAATTGAGCCTGAACCGAGTTCAATTGGAATCTTCAAGTGTCGCTGATGAACAGTAACTCGAGACGGGATTCTCTCGATTTCCGTCCGAAATGGGGAGGAAAATGATTTTCCCATTTTTTTATTCATTTTCTCTCCACTTTTCTTTTCCTCTCACTTTTTCTTTCTTTTTCTCACTAACCAAACATAAAAAAACATTTCCCTCCTATTTTCTTTTCTTTTCCCAGCCAAAATCCTTGAACCAAACATAGTGTAAGTGTTTTCCAATCAATTTTAGATTATGGTTTGTGATTTCAGAAGTGTAAATTATGCTCTAGAAGTGATTTTCACCAAAGCTCGGAGTAACTACTCTCTACTTCTGATTTAGCATATCTGCTTTTTCAAGACTCACCGTACTCACAAACATCCTCTAAAAACATCTAATCTAACTATATACAAAGCTAGGATAAATTTGTGAATAGTGTTCCCGCCTAAATGTATAGGCTATTTACTTCGGTTTTGGGCTTGACGAATTGGGCCTGAATAATGGATAATGTTCTGTTATGGATCTGCGTGCATAGTAATTATGTTTTATAGATATTTGAAGAAAGGTAGAAATTGGTGCGTGGATCCATGCAAACTTTATGTCAAATCAAATTAAATAAATATATTCACAAAATCCAATGATTTAAAAGGAAAAGTTAGTGTGTGACTTCATGCAAACTTTATGTCGAATCAAATTAAATAAATAGATTTACAAAATCAAATGATTTAAGAGAAAAAAGTTGATATGTGGCTCCATGCATACTTTATGTCAAATCAAATAAATAGATTTACAAAATCCAAGCATTTAATGGATAGGTTGGTTGTCCAATTATATATACTACTTATACCCTAAAACATTTCATAATAATCTCATCCTAAAAAATTTTCCCTTCTTTCGAAAAATATCTCAAAAACATTCAAAGAATATGTGGAATGCCCTTACTGAGATTGACAATAGTCGCATCACTTGGATACTTATGTTACGAGTCGTTCGTGTCTATTTTGTTCTGGCTTGGGGAAAAGGAGATTCAATGAAAGTGATCATTTATGATGAACATGTATATTATTCACAATTTTTTTACATTCATTTATTTATTCTAATGCGTTCCGTAATGTTGGATTATTTACTTTGTGTGCAGGGCACGAGGATTCACGTCCATCTCAATAAACCTTAAAGAAATGTTTTGAAACTCAAATCGTAGAAGATGGTGTTTTCAAAATTCGAAATATCTTTGTTAATTATAACTACCTCTAGTCATTTTGTTTTCGGATTAACTTCCTCCCTTTTAAACAAAGCTTTGTAATCAACTCTTTTATTAGTCAAAGTTTGGGATTCAATTTTATGAAATGATATGCTTCCTTGATGTACTTGAATGTATTTGTTTTTATTAGTCAAGGTTTGGGATTCAATTTTATATCAACTCCGTATTACTTATATTTATCTTCTCTTTTTACTTGAATGTATTTCTTTTTATAAAATTATTTTTTTGGATGAAATTGGTTATAATATAAATTTTGTTAAACATTCTGCCCGTGCATAGCACGGGTATGAATCTAGTCACAATCAAAGCTTTCAGACTTCAGAAACATTAGCATGAATGAATAAGATTTTTGTGAGTACTGTGGTTATAAGGTGTAATGCAGAATCCTTTTTTTAGACAGACTTTTAAAAGCATTAGCACGAGTTAAGAAGACCAGTGCCAGCACTAAGGATGTTTTCCTTTTGCTCCACAAATTAATTAGTGGGTCAAATCATGATGTGCAGATTGCCTATGTACAATACCATAATCTGTAAACTGCCAAATTTACAGTGCTACTACTAGTACAAATATAAAGGGTTAAAGAAGAGGGACCAGAGCTATGATCTACATGGCTCACCATTATTCCATCAACTTATGGCGGTGGCGGTGCTTATGATGATGATGGGTGCTTCCGGAAATGTTCCTTTTACGGTGCCCATCCGTTGTTTTTTCTCCTTGTAGCATTATGTTCATTGATGTTGATGAAGGTCTATGACGATGATGATGAAAAGCTGTGGCAGCTCTGTGGTGTTTGTCTTTTTCCTTGAGAACATGGTGAAGGAAGTAGTGGTAATCAGTAGCACTGCCAGTGGGTGGTGGGTGGCGAGTTGTTCTCACTCCTTTGTGTGCCTCAAGATGATGATGATGATGAGGACGGCGATGATGCTTATGGTGGTGGTGATCATGTCTTCTCTTTAAGTAAGCTTGCTCATGATGATGATGAGGAACTGGTGAAAAGTGATCTTCCCACCAGTCATATAAAGGATCAAACACTCCTTTCTGATGTAGAAGCCATACTAGCACCATCACTGCATTTCACATTGCAAAAGCGCAGATTAATTAATTAATATGTGGCTTCCAAACTTTGCTCTTCTCGGGAAAAACTTTAAGGAAAGGTGAAAAATTAAGCGACTCACAAGTTGGGAAAATGGCAAGGAGTAGAGCAACCAAAACTATCCAATTCAAACAAATGTATTGTATGTGACAGCTCACATCGAAAAATCCAACACATTTTGTTCTGTTCAGACAAGGAAAAATTAGTAATCAATTCGCTAGGTAAAATTTGCCACAAATCATATCCCACATACACATGGAGTTTAGTCTTCAAAGTTAGTTCAGAAAAGTATTTTGCTTCACACACAACTGCAATATCTGTGTGTGGGTGTGAGTGTGAGTGTTTGTGATGTGGACTGAATGATTAGGCAGGCACCTGCAATTTTCTCCTGTAAAAAAATCTGTCAAACCTGCCAGCAACTTGTTCCACAGTTGTTGAAGTGTTTCAAAAAAACCATGTACACCTGTCTTGGGGGGTTGGAATGGTACCTGTGGTTAAATCATAGATTGTGTGGCTAAATAAGAGTGCTGTTTTTAAAATACTATTTCCCAAAAGTTTATCATTATAGGTAACTAGTCCTTCAATTTGGATTTATTTGTCCACTTGTGCTTTTTTCGGCAACTGGAATTAATTGTTCAGTTTCCATTTTAGTGAACAAATTGTTGGGAACCATCGAAAATATCCCTAAAAGCACAGTAGCACCAATGTGGGAGAAGCTGATTTTAAAGAGTTAATAATTTTACCCAAATTCCTTAACGCTATGTTTGGTTAGTGGAATTCGGAAGGAAAAGAAAAGATTCCCTCCTTTTCCTCACCAAAATGGAAGGAAAAATGTTCTCTCTTCTTAGTTTATTAGCTCCTCTTATTTTCTTTTCCTTCTATTTTACTTTTCTTTTCCTTTCTAACAAAACACGAATATTTTTTTCTACATCATTTCCTTTTCTTTTCCGTTTCAAATTCCTTGAACCAAACATAGTGTAAATGTGAAGCACTTTACACATTCCTAAGAGACAAGAGAGGGAGTATGAAGTAAAAAAAAGACTATCTGTTTTGAGTGTGAATGTTAAAACCTGTGTTCCATTATCAAATGCCGTAGCAGTTGTTGAGAACTGACACTCTGCTCGATCAACTTCATTAAAATCAGAGTCTTTCAATATTGCTGCAAACACAAATTTGACCAGCATCAGGAACTCAATTATTTAATAAAGCTGGAAAAGTTATTTTCTAATGTCTAATTAATACCAGAACATAAATAATTTGCTGCTTGATCACTTGACGGGTTCAACTTGAATGCTCTGGTGACAAGTTCATTAGGCTTCATTATGTAAAACTGCTCCTGTAAGCAATAAAGTTTTCTTAAGACAAACCATGTTCCTTGAAGACATTGCAATTATATTAGTGGATGCTAACGAATTTTGGTCATATGATCACACTTATTCACAACCTCCATTTGGCTGACACCACCAGAGCAATCAAACTGCAAATATTCAAGAAATAAATAAACCAAATCAATCCAAGAAATTCATGCAATCACAATTGCCTTAGAGTCTAGACACCTATAACTCGTAATTTGTATCTTAGCACAGATCTGTGCACAGTCTATACATTTTGGAAGCCAACCTTACGCTACAGTTTCATTGATGAAAGACAATACATAACTCTCAAACTAGAAACACATTTCAACTACTAGTTTACCGTGAGGCTGTAGGATGCTTCTACTTCGCCAATATTTTTAGTAGTAATTGTTGCTGTCCCCGATTGAGTAAGAGCTTCAAATGTAGGAGCAGCAATGTCCATAATTTTCCCTGGGCTCCTGAATGAAAAAGGTATGACATTGAATCCCCAACACTACCCAAAGTATGGAAAAGAAAAATCTTCCTCAACATAGGCAAACCTTTGATAGACATATTCTATATCATCAGCACTCAGTTCAATCAAGAGATTGGTATTGAGAACTTCAGTTATTCCTATGGAAAATGCATGACTTCCTGCATTCTGAAATAATAGTATTTATTATTTGATGGCAAGAGAAAGGAATCATTGTAACTACAAAATAAAAAGGCATGAACCATAACTGGATGTTGGTTGATTCTCTCAAACCTTCCTTGAACACAGTACAGTGGCACCTGGTTTCTGCCGATTCGATTTTGATCTGCCTGATAGATGCAAAAATGCAATATTGAATCTAACCGCTGATATGGGTACAATTCAAGAATGTGTGGTCAAACTGATACACTGATACTTACATCCCAAAAGTTCCAAAGTTGGTTATGCAAGCAACTCCAATATGGAGCCGAGCAAAAACCAGGCTGTGAATTGAAGGCCTCAAAACCAACACCAATTTTGTTACATTCAAGACCATCTAGAGTAAACCTAACTCTCTCCAGAAGCATCCACAAGGAGTAATTGCTCCCAAGATTTTCAGGTTGACCTGGACCACCCTTTGACAAAGATAAATCCAAATAAATAACATGAATATAAGATGTTTACACAGGAGAACAAAAGCTATTATGATTCTTAAGAGGAAATCAACAGATAAGTTGAACTAAAAAACAACCTCCAAGTGTGGAAAGTCATTGGTACTAGAATTCAAAACTTGTTGTAGAAAGTTCAAAGTGGGTTTAATTAATGAGAAGAAATTTACATGTCTAGGGATAACAAGGTAGTAGTCCTCAAAAGATGGAATATCTGTATATCCAACATAGTCTCCAACAAGATTCACTCTTAAAAATTTATCATTGGATACAGCAGTCCTATTTCCAGGGCCAACAGTCACTTCCTGTCCCAAGAAAACGAGGGAGATAACCATTTAATAATCACTGTGCATCAGGAGACAAGAGGGGAAAAAGGACAAAATGCAATCTATAGCTCATATAGATTGATAGAAGACTTTATGAAATTCATCAAATTGATGATGCTTAATTCTTATGTAGAGCTTTGAACAACTTAAAGCATTCAAGGCATCAAATTCTCTTCATTTGAGATGATGTCTTTGTTCTGATAAATATTAGTTCTTCTTAACATATCTTCAGAATAAAACTTCATTATTGGGATGGAAGAGAACACAGTTTTAGATACGCAAAATTCAAGCAAAACTACAAGATCAAATGCAGTGAAAATGTCAGTGCACATGGAACACAAGATTTTCAGAAAATTCAGAGTACGTACTGATACTTGAGATTTCGTTTTGACTTCAATTCTAATACTAAATCCAACTGAGCGGTGTCCAATGCCAAACACATGGAACCTGAGTGAAGAAGGAACAGTACAGATTACATATCACCTTTAAATGTGATTTACTACCCCCCCACCCACGCACCCACACACAGAAGAATATGGGAAAGTGAATCTACTTTTACAATTTCAACTAAAATCTATTATGAATATAATTATCTACATAAAATCTAAGCAAGCAATTTCAAAAGCCTTACCAATCACCTGGAAACCGAAGACAATGAGCAGTGTTTGCCTTCCCTTTCATCATCTTGTCAACTAATTCACACGCGTATACACACACAAAAAGCAAAACCACAAAAAAAACAAGTCAACAAATTGTTAACCATGCACTGCAAGTTGTTGGCAATTTGGCATCAGGACAATTAATATTTAGAAGCTTACAAAAGTTCCCACAAGATGAAGGAATCCTGCGTTGTCCACCACATGGACAACAGATAGGCTGTAAAGACAGTGTTCAAGAAGATAAATAAATTACAACATTTCATTATAATTGATTTTCATGATCATCAACTAGCATATAATAACTTTGCAACTAGCATAGAACACTAAAATAACAACACTTCACTATAATTGATTCCCATGATGTAATTTTGTAGAGCCAAACCCAGAAAATGCAATTACTAACTAGTATAACCTTTCCAGGGATCAACTTTATCAATTGAATTGTTCTATCTAAATCTGAAGCACGTGACTTAACTACATATGTGATAAATTAACAGAAGCTTTTATGAATCAAACACGCACCACACCACCACCAACAACAACAGCAATAACAAACCCAATATAATCCCAACTTTGTTGAGGGTTTGAGAGTGAAAGGGCAAGATGTACGCAACCTTACCCCTATAAAAAAACAGATTGTTCAATATAACAGCATATTAATATGTTACTATTAATATGGGACAAACACTACACAGAACTGGCTTGTAAAGTAATGTTGTGTGTACATTCTGTAGATTGTAGAATATTAAAGATATGGAACAAATTTCAGCAATTACTTTTCATTACTAATATAGTTACAGTTTCCAGAAAAACACCAGTATAGCTATAGAATGAGCAGGAAATGCTGCTAGAGTATTCAAATCATTCATTAAGGAGAAATGATGGTTGAACCTTCACCTACCTGAGTGTGGTCGATAATGTTCCCATTCTCATCTTTCAACCTACACTGATCACAAAGTTATGTATAGTAGGAGAAGAGTAAAAGCTCCAATCTTTCGGAGAAAAAAAACGGGCGTGGGTGATGTTGGTAAACAGAACTTGCCTTTCACATATTCGGACAACATCTGCACCAGCATTACTCTTACACTTTCTTGTCTTCACATACAACTCTTGTGGTTTGTAAGCGACATCCTTAACAAAAGGTTTCGGGTTTGTACCAGAAAGCGTAAGAACAAGTATTCTTATCCGAGTTGAACCAATTTACAAAAACCATAGCCGAAAACCTAACGTACTCTTATGTATGTCAATTCATATAAAGCATAGGCAGCGGATTTTTGGATGGTAACAGCAGGAGGAACCCTAAGGGTGCGCATGTTAGTTGCATTCTCTTCCACTTCCACAATCTCCGCCACCATTGAAGCCTCATTCCCACTCTGGTTAACAAAAAGATGCCAAAATTACTGTCCACATAGTTGCTTAAGAACTGTGCGGGTTTGCGAGAGAAGAATGAACGATTACTTACAGAATCGCTGGGAACGGCTAGGTTTATGAGGATCTTGTTGGTGCAATTGAGTTGTTGGTCTGAACCAGAGCCTTTCTCGCATTTCTGGAGCTTCGATTTTGACAGTATTTGAATCGAAGAAACCGATAGGATGGGGAAGAAGAAACTGAAGAAGAGAATTGGCAGTGCAAGAGGCTTCATTGAGGCCATTTGAGCGCCATTCATTCAATTTTCCTGCCAGATTCCATTAATTCACGCTCTGGATGGTGAATTCATTCTGTAAAACTGTAATAGGGAGTTCGGCAAGTAATTTAGGGGCAGATGGAAAATGGAGCACTAGCCAATAGACATTTGAGGCTTTCTTTAGAAGTTAGAACACATGCCAATAAAACCAATGAATATTTGGGGAAAAAATGTGACAAATAATAAAAAGTTAAAAATACATAAATAAATAAATAAAAGCTAACAAGAATTCAAACTTCAAAATAATAATTGAGAAGTTAATTTTTGAAGGAAAGGAATAAAAATTAGGATTATATTTTAAACTTAATTTAAATAGGTCCATTAGATGTATTATGTAAATCATAGTTATATCATATAGTTATATCATGTATTCTACTCTATATAAGGGAAGTATCATTAATGAAAGATGAGATACAAACTTCACAAAACTATCTAAAATGAGATTTTTTTTTAATATTCACATAAATAAGACCTTATTTTTTACACAAAAAGGTACTTATTCAGTCCTATTACAATGCATCTCATATTTTCAATTCTATTTTTACCCTTTTTCCTTTTTTATTTCTTAATATATTCTTTGATAATCATTGAGTCATTTATTACACTCACGTCAAGGAAGTAATCAGGGAGTATGCTTTTTAGAGCATCAACAATGGCAATGATACGGACTGATTGCATTGTCCCACACTGGTAAATCAGGGAGTATGCTTTTTAGAGAATCAACAATGGCAATGATACGGACTGATTGCATTGTCCCACACTGGTTAAATGGGGAACTTGGTGATGGGTTTATATAGCCAAGAGTTCTCCTGCCTTAACAGCTAGCTTATAGGGTGTGACTCTCCCTTGTGTTGTATCAATGGTATCAGAGTCAACTCGGAGTGGTGGCCTACAGAGTGGTGGCCCACAGAGTGGTGGCCCACGGAGTGGTGGCCTAGTGAAACCAGCCGTGACCAACGTGGCCGTGACTAACGAGGACGCTGGGCCTTATGGGGGTCGAATGATACAGACTGGTTTCATTGTCCCACACTGGTTAAATGGGGAACTTGGTGATGAGTTTATATCGCCAAGGGTTCTCCCACCTTAACGGCTAGCTTATAGGGTGTGGCTCTCCCTTGTGCTGTATCAATGGTATCAGAGCCAACTCGGAGTGACAAGTGAGTGGAGTCGCGTGTCTTGCAGTGGCAAGTCACTGCTTTTATCCATTTTTGCACTTTTTTGACATATTTTAATTGTTAAAAATTAATTTTCTTATCTTTTTTTAAGAAAAAAATCTTTCTACTTCTTTTAAAAAATCTTGTATGTTATGAAAAAACAAAAAAAGAGTAGTTGACTCGCGCATGGAATGTAAAGCATGGCAAATTGCCCATGATTTGCAAGTCATTTTATAAAAATTGATGATGTGGCAGCGTGGCAATGACAAATCCACGCCACTGCCGATGCTCTTAGTACATACTGTTTTCACGGTTGTGAAGTGGTGTTGTAATTCAGTGCATGGTGCCTTCCCCAATATGCAATAATGTTGCTATTCGATGCATACCATTTTCGCGATATGCAGTAATGCTGGTTTTCAACAATGGCAATATAGACTTTTCAGAAAGACTAAAGTAGGACTATAACATTGAAAATATACCAAAATAAAACTTCCATGTTTTTATTCCCGAAATAGGACTTACATTACCAAACGTGGTCATATACATTACCAAAAAAGCATAGTAATGTACACTGCCACATTACCATAATGCAAAGTCACATTACCACAGTGCAAAGTCCTATTTCGGGGGAAAAACATGAAAGTCCTATTTTGATACTTTTCTCTATGTTTTAGTTCTATTTAAGGTGATTTCTGAACAATGTATTTGTCCCACGCTTGAATTAGGTCCTATTTATGTAAAAACACCTTTGTTTTAGTTATATCCACACAATTTTCTCTTTATTTTATGATACAAAGCAATAAAAAATTCGAAGTATATACTTCTTCTGTTTCATAATTTTTTTAATGTTCTCATCTTACATCTCTCATAAAATATTTTCAATTTAGCCTAAATGGATACAATTGTCCTTAGTTTTCATAAATTTAACCGAACCTACACAACTACCTTGTACTTCCTACTCGTTTTGACATTTTTCGAGCCATACTCGTTTCAATTGTCTTTTTTTCATCTTGATCAAACTTCGGCCAAATAGCTTCTGTGCCCCCTGTAGTTTGGATAATTGGCACCAATACCCCCTCTGCTTTCAAAACTTACTAGACTCGTACCTGTGCGATGCACGGGCTATTAATTGACATATAATTACTCAATGTTTTGAATAAGGAAAAATGTTACAAAAACCTAAAAGATTATATAAATTGAAAAAATAGAAAAAAGAGAGGGAGTTTTGGAAGTGGTATAAGTTTTGAAACATTTTTTTTATAAACTACATTCACAATTTGGTTATCTTTATTGCCAATCAAAATCTTTAACACTTTCCGTGTTGCACGGTAATAATATTTAACTATTATTTTAAAGAAACAATGAATAAATTTTACTCCGTATGATATAAAAAAAATTGGATTCAAATAAAGTGGATGGGTGAGAAATTAAAAAATGAATTTATATGATAGATAAGAACTTAATAAATATTAGAGTTAACACCAATAAAATAGAGGTCAGTTACCATGACATTGATTCAATCAATGTCATGAGATGACCCGAGAATGCTCCGGTGCCCCGTTCATAAAATTGACAGTTCCTACCTCACCAATCCCCCCAATAAACCCCCCACCCCGTGCGTTGCACGGTTAATTATTTATCTAACAAAATTAATACTTCCAGAATATATTATTCTGAAAAATTAATTTTTATTCTTTCAAGATATATTCCTTCCTTCAGCTGAGTGAATGATTTCAGAGTTTACTCCCGAAAATTGCAAAAAAACAATACTTATCTTGATTTTATGTGTTTCTACCCAATAGATCCAAATTACATGCAATCTGTACGAAAACAAATGTTTTAAAAATCATTTAGAAGATACTTTTATAAAAAGCACCGATCGAGTATTTGCTTCTCCCAAGGTGTAATAGCTTCTCCATACGCTCTCTCAAATCACACATGGAGTCATGTACTTTTTTTTTACTTAGAGGGTTCACATTTTCACCTATTCTTTGCAAGTATAAATCAATTCTTTAATAAACTTTAGGAAACAGTCACATGGCTTTCATATCCCTTTGTAAATACAAATAACATTGTTTGAAGCAGATTGAATTGACAACCCCATTCAAAGTGTTTCAAGCATAATGAAACCTCTGTACCGCAAGAAACAATGAAGAAACCACAAATATTTCAATGTAAAATATCAATATGAGTACAACTGAAGAATCATTGAACCCTTAATCACTAAACTTTTAACATCTGAAGATAATGTGGCCAGTAACTTGATATTATTAACTAAATATTTCAGCAACATAAAAGGACAAATTGAGTTAAATAAATTTAAACAAAGTATTTCTTCCTATTTTTTCTCACTTTTTACTCATGTCTTTGAGATAGGTGAATGTCTTACCATGTGCATGAGTGTATCATGTTGACATGTTCCCATTCATTTTCAACCATCTTGTGGGCAGCAACAACGACCTGTGAGAATACAAATGAATATGAATAATAGAGAAAGTTAATCACGAATGATGAAAAGTTAAATGTAAAAGTAATCATAATCTCAACTAATTACGAATATAGTTATTAGAGTAAAGTAGCTTGTCTTTCTAATAGCAATAAACTTACATTAGAGAATGTTTGAATCACTGAAATGTACTAAGCTCATAAGTCATAACTTACTCCATCATCACAGTTCTTGAGCAAGTTTATCAAACACCTGTTGCCTCTGTTTCGTTTGATGTTCTTGTCTCAATTGCATCAGTCTTTTGGCACTTTACATGAAAGTACAACATATCATCCTCCTCCACCTCCACACTCCCCACCTAGCCAGGAGATTGATTTCCTTGTAAAAATAGAAATCACCATTTGAGATTATTATTATTATTATTATTATTATTTTCAAGGTAACATGTAAATTATTATTACCCGTAATCAAAAAAATACATAAATTTCAAATGCTTAACCATGATGATGGTTACGTGCATAGTAGACAGCTTCAAACCTAGACTATATCAAATAATTACATCAAATAAATAATTGCAACTCAAAACCAAAACATACAATAGAGTTCAATAACATGCCACATAGTAAGAAAAGACGTGTGGCGAGATGATCCACAAATGATCCACAAAATCCTTTCAGTAAACATCACCAGCAATAAGAGGTACCAACCTGTTTCCCAAGTGTGCAAAACAGCTCTCATTCTTTTGATAGGGAGTAATTCCAAATGTTTCGTATCAAAACGCAGAAAGACTTCCAAAGCAAACCATTATCAATCCAAGTCCAAACAATAACCATCCTCAAGTTTAAGCAAAAGGCATCGATGTATTTGTAGGATACAATCAAACCTTCATTCCACAACAGCCCCGTTGTGAGGAACATGTCCAGCAAGTCTAACGGCAGCAGCATATCCATCGTCATGTCCAAGCTCCAAGGAAGCCCCACTCTAATTTTGAAATCCAATTGCAGCCCCAAGCCCCCATCATAGGAGTCCAGCAGTAGCATCCCCATTCTCCATGTAGAAGTAGGTGCGGCAGCCCCATTCCCAAAGCAGCAGCGGGTCAGGAGGTCTTCTAAGGCCAATGCCGATGGCTATACCAGCACCTCTGTCCAGCAGCCCCGTCCAGTTGCCCCCATTTCCAAAGCAGCAGCAAGTCGTTGGGAGCCTCCTGTCCAGCAGCTTTCCAGCAACTCCCATGAATTTCCAGCGCCAAGGTCCAGCCATGAGTGCAGCTCCGGTCCAGCATCCATTTGTCCAGCAAGAATTTCCAGTGCCAAGGACCAAACATGAGTGTCCAGTATCTCCATGTCCATATCCAGCAAGACCAGGTATCCAGCAACATTCCACAGCAGCAAGAATCCAGCATAGGTGTCCACAACTCTGGCATTTACCAATTGTGGGGTCATGTGGTTGGTTAGATATAAAAATATTGTCTAAAATTCCCAACTCTGGCATCACCAAATATGCCTTAGTTTGTGTCTAACTCACCTGAACATTGAGAGGACTCTATTTTATTAAACATTATTAGATGTTCTCATGATATTCATGAGTGTTTTAACTACTATAAGTTTAGTGTTTTTTAGAGGGTGTAGTGTTTAAACATTCATGTTTTAGTTACTGATAACAAATATAATATTACTCCATTGGTTGTATACAGAGCTTTGTTTCTTAACATGAATTTATCCCCAAAAAGAGTCATTCTTGATGAAGACAAACTACTTCCTCCATCCCATCATAAGTGAGTTTTGACCGGACACGAACTTTAATAACGGTAATGAACGGATCATTTTAATAACAGGCATACAGAATTATAATTACAGGATTACATATTGAATGCTCGAGTTTTAAACTGAGAAAGACGAAGGGAAGGATTACATACCCAAAAATAGTCCTTTGGGCTTGAATAAGCTCTCTGCCACCCTACAAAAGAATAGCCAAATTATCCTACAAAAGTTTCCAAATCATTCACAACAAAATCCAAACATAAAACTAAATCACGGATAATTTGAAAAGAAATTGCAACAATTTTCTCAAAAAATAAGAAACAAAATACCTGGAACTAATTTCAGACCAGCAACTGATGCAACTCTTCCTTCCAAGTAGCATTTTCAACCAATTTCGCTTCTAATTAGTCTGTGTGATGGATTAAATGAGAAAAGTGAAAACTACTCTTGAGAAAGAGCACTGGCCTAAGCTGCTACCATTGAAACACTCAGTACTATAACCCTAATGGAAATTAAATTACTAATTAAATTTAATTGCCTTCACAAAAAATAGAGCATCTAATTTGACATGGCGTCAAATGAAAATGAAGAAAATGTGATATTGGAAGATAGATTCTCTTACCCGTCTTGTCTATATACCGTACACCCATGATTTAGCTGGATCTTTTTCATGCTTTTAGGAGATTGAGATGATGGAATGGGAAAAAATCTGGCTTCTACCGTTAGAGTATTTGGCCGGATCTGCACAATATCAGAGATCTAAAATACTGGATGAAACACTTGAAGCTGCAGAGTATAAAAGATTATGTAATCCGTTGAAACACACCTTGTTGAGCTCATTAACTTCTCATTCATCGCAGACCAATCGATGCACTGTAATTTCCGGTCAAAACTCCTCCGTGCTGCCAGAATCCAGCCAGGCTAGGGTTGAAGGTTAGCCGACGTTATCGTCTCCCACCTTGTTCCGTCAGAAGCCCTGTTGCCCTAGTCGTTTTGCCTTCTCCTGTTGTTATAATCGAAGAGAAAAGCGTAGCTCCCGATTAAAATAGAACTGTTGAAGCAAAAAATCGATCTATATATAGGGCATTTTTTGAGGTAAAAAGGAAAAAAACCATCTTCCATGACATATTGAGAGAAGCTCAATTAATCCAAAGAACGTCAACATTTCATAATAAGTTTATTCTACGTATAAAATAGCATGATTTTTGAAAACATACCTCCGCCAAAATGAATATGAATTTCCAAGCAAAATGCTAAAACCTTGAAGCCCTGTCATAAAATTGAATAAAGGTATAATCTTAAGAAGGCAAAAAACCATTAATTACAATGCTCGGGCGCTTGAAGGGTGCCCGTGCAATATGCACCGGAACACATCTGGTCTCACGTTACATAAACAAAATTAGACTGATTAAAGATAAATTGCAGAAGCATTTATAAGCGTCTCCTTTATGGTAAAATCATCTACAAATGGAAAATGGTGAAATCTAAACTCTTCATTCACTACTTACTGCATCCAATTCTTTATCCAACCAACAAAAAAGAATCTGTAACCCATAGAACAATTTGTACTAATTTTAATCAAAACAACAACAAACACAACCACCGAGTGAAATTAAAAACAAAACTGAATTTGATTTTTAAAAAAAAAACAGATAAGAAATCAGATAAATAAAATATGGATAGGGAAAAAACTTTTGAATTCAAGAAAAAATGGATAAATAAAACATTTGAAAATCAAGAATAAACTTACCGGTCGCTAAACTCAAAGGGCATAGAGACCATCGAACAGATGAAACCCTAGATCCAGAAGAACTTTGCAGGGGACTCCGGTCGAAGAGGACAGCAGCCAACACGAAGAGGACAGCAGCCCTAGATCAGGTGTAAGCTTTTCCCGGTCGAAGAGGAAAGCAGCCCTAGATCGTGTAAGCTTTGTAGAAAATTTTGGGAGCTTACGGTGTAAGCTTTTCCCGGAAGCGTACAGAGTAAATTTGGAGCCTTTGTAGTTGTTGAATTTTCCAGGGGACTCCAGTGGCGTACGGCGTAAGCTTATGATAGGCCCATTAGGCAGTGACCCGGCCCAATATTTTGGGCGGGAACACTGTTCACTTTCCCCTTCTACCATTGTATATATATATATATAGATATAGATATAGATAGATATAGATATAGATTTCTAAAGTCCCTGCGCTTTCAAAACTTATTTCTTAACTTATTTCAAAACGTTCCGGCCATTTTTCGGGGCATTGGCGCATAATTTTTAAACCATAGGGGGCATTCGTGCTCATTTATTATTTTCGTTTATTAATAATGTTTTCCCTTTTTTTTAAATATTTTCTATCTCTTTTCCTTTTCTTGGAATTTTTTAAAAAATATATTTTCAAATTTTTCTAATTTTTTAAAAATTTTAAAATTCTTTATGTTTGAAATAAAAATATAAATAAAAAAATTAACATACATTACATTTATCTCAAATTAAACATTTTCACTTTTTGTTACTTAGAATAATTTTTTGGAAAATTAAAAAAACCCAGAATAAAAAAATTAAAATATGGAAAAACGAAATGAAAAAATTATAATACGAAAAAAAAGTCTTATACAAAAAACATTTGGGCACGCCAAAAAAAGTCCTTATAATTGAGATGTCCAAAAAGGATGTTATTTTTATTTTTGTATTATTTTGTTTCTTATTTTGTTTCTCATTTTTTTGAAGTTCTCAAGAAAATATACTTTCTTTTCAGAAAAAACAAAAATTGTTATTTTGAGACATACATATGCATTATATGTTAATTTTTTCAAACAAAATAACTTTAAATATTAAGAACATTATAAAAATAATTTTAAAAAACCTTTATTAATAAATGAAAAAAAGAGAAAAATGGAAAAACAAAAAAATAAACGAGAAATAAAAATCAGCACTAATACCCCCTATGATTTAAAAAATATGCACCAATGCCCTCCTTCTTCGCCGGAAAAATGGTCGGAAAATGATCAGAGGGGGCACGGGTGTAACATTTTGAAATCAGAGGTACTTTAGAAATAAGTTTTGAAAACAGATAGGGTATTCAAGCCTGTTTTGCAAACCACGAGGGTTACCGGCGCTATTTGGTCATCAAACTTCAATAGCTTCCCTTCTCAAAAGTCAAAATAGAAAATATTTTGTGAAACACGTGAAGCAATAAATAGAAAAAATAAGTCAAATAGCTTTTAACCGAAAGCAAACATGTCTTCGAAAAAAGGTGTCTAATTTCTTACTCCCTATGTCTCATTTTATATAGTCGATTTTGTCTTACAATGTTTGACAGAAATTATATTTTGTTTAATTTATAAGATAATTGAGTGGAATTAAAAAATAAAATTTACATGTTCAAAAACTACATCAAAAGTTTTAAAAATAAGTAACGACATGACTATATTATTATATCAAATGGCTAACGAGAATACATAAACAATTTAAATAAAATTTGACTATATGAAAATTATATAGGCCTTTCATTTGGAACTAAAGTCATGTTCTTTTCGCCTAATCTGATTAAAATAAAATTTTGATCTGATTGTAATTGTATTTAAAATTATTTTTGATTTGATTCTAATAATAATAAATAATAAATAAAAATTAAATTGATAAGAACATGATCTAAAGAGTACTTTATAAAGGAAGGAAAAAAAAGTCGGGGCATTATTAAAAAAGAAAAAGAAAAAAGGGTGAGGGGACCAGGATAGGGCCATTATTAATTCCACAAACCCGCCCACGTTTCCCTCGTTCTCCAATCCCCATCATCCTATAATCCTATCCCATTTAATTTATTTATTATCAAAATTCAAAATCCTGTTTTGAAGTAACGGCAATGGAAACTTCCCCTCCTCCAACAGACAAGACAAAAATGAGAGGGAAAAACCGCCGCATGTTATTAGTTAGCGCCGCCGCCGCCGCCACCCAGAGGAATCGCCGCCCCAACGCCGCCGTTGATGCACCGGAGGAGAGGAAGAAACCCAAAGAGCGCAAACAGGGCAAGTCAAAGTGGCCGTTCAAGAAAACCCCGGAGATCAAAAGCCGCAAGGAGGAGAAGATTACGGCAAAGAGCGGAGAGAACAATCGGGGCAAGTCGAAGCCGCCGGCGCATTTCTTATTCTTAACCGTATCAAAGCGCCGCCGTAGGGGATGGGGTTTGAGACTTTCCGGCGGCGGGCTGCTGCTGAGGCGGTGGAAGAGGAGGGTGGGGTGTGCGTTGAGGAAGTGGATGAGCAGAGGAAGAAGAAGTCTCGTGGGGTGGGCCCCGACAAGGCGGCCCCGCGGAGGCGGCGACCCGGAGATTCAGAGATTGATGAGAAATGAAGAAGACGAAGAAGAAGAAGGGATTGAGCTGTGCAAGAAGAGGATCCTAATGGGGGACAAGTGCAAGGCGCTGAGCCAATCTGGAAGGCTTCACTACGATGAGAATGGCGTTTTGTTGCCGGAGATGATACCATACGAATGAGACTTCCCGTGCATTTGGGAAGAGCTTTAGATAGTTAGTAGGTAGGGATTAGCTTTTTGAAAAAAGCTAATCCCTTCAATATGGTTTAGGAGCATTTACTTTGTATTCCGGTGCATTTTACGATCACTTTGGTTGTCAAAATTTTTAAATTTTGATCATAAATTATGGATAAGATAGATTAAATTATGATATACTCGTAATTTAATGCCAATAGATCAGTTTGAAATGTAGTTTTAAAATATCGGATCAGTATATTTATACACATACACACACAAATAGGAATGTTAATGGTTAAAGTATTACTCCCTCGGTCACCGTTTAAGTTGTATGTTTACTATTCACATGCATGGTCAAATTCTAACCATGTTTTTTACCCAATTTTGTTACTCATTTGATGAAATAATACAATTGTGTCGTCTCTTATTTTGTAGATCTTTTGTTGTAGTTTTTAAGTATATATATAATTTATTTTTTATTTACGCACCAGGCCAATTTTCAAATATATTGAGTTGAAAATGGTCTCCGCCAAACTTCGTAAACAACATGTGATTTAACTTGAGACGGAAAAAGTAGATTAGAGACTGCGCAAAAATCATCTACTTAGAAAGAAAGAAAAGAGAAGAATAGTACTCCGTATAAAAGTTTGATATTTTAAAATGAACACAATTATATTAAATATGTATTATAAGTAAATATATTTTTACTACAAAAATGCTTGGGGCCAAGTATTCTGCAACACTTCTCTACCATACAAGTTTGGGTGTGATTCAAAAAAGTAGAGAGTGGATTAAAAGCATGTAGTTGTGATTAAATTGTACTCCCTCCGTCCACAAATAAATTTTACATTTACTATTTATAGAGTCAAACTTTATTCACTTTGTTGGCCTATTTTCGTCACCCATTTGATAAAATAATATAGTCATGTCACATCTTTTTTTTGAATGCTATTGACTCTATTACAAGGTAGTATCTGTTCATACTATTCTCAAGCTAATGACGCACAAAGAGCCAATGCTGCTGCCTTCGCTGGAGCTCGAACCTGGGTGAACTTCCCCATGAATCCTGGGGAGTGGGCTTGCTACCACTCAAGCCAGGGGAGAAGTTCTAGTCATGTCACATCTAGCTTTGTAGATCTTTTGATATAGTTTTTTAATATGTAATTTTTATTTTTCAATTTTACACCATTTTTCATATAAAATGATTTGAAAATAACTTCAGTCAAACATAGTAACGCGCAATGTAAAGTTTATTTGTGGACGGAGGGAGTATGTGCTTAGTATAACCTTGTGCATGTATGTAAGTTCGTGGGGGGCGTAGCGGATAAAACCAAGCACAAGCTATGCAAACAAAACAATCAAATATGTTGTAGAGAAAAAATACTACAGCACTGTCACAGTAACATATGACTGACAAAGCGCTATAACATCTTCTCTGTCACAAGCACACACGAAGAATATAAAGTAAAAACAGCAAGCAAGACACCAGAATTGTTAACGCAGTTCGGAGCAAATTCTCCTACGTTTGCAAGGCCCACGTCCCTGTAATAGCCCTTCCACTAAATTACCGTAAGAATTACACAATCAATCACACCAGAACATTCTAATGTATTGATTTGTCTACTTACAAATGACTTGACGGCAAACTCGGTTTGCGTCTATCTCCACGGCTTGTTACACCTTCTCAAAGATCTTCTTCAAGGACGTAGATTCTAGTACACCTTCAAATAAAGATTCTCCTTGATCTACAAAAATATGCAGGCTGTTCGGAAGCTCATAAATCGATATTGAACCGTTGAAATTCGATCTCCACCGTTCAGATTGAAGCTCCACAAGTCCTTAGACTCCTCCTAAAATTTCAGCACGATCGGACAAGGTTTGGTACTCCGATTATTGACAAAACCATAGGTGCGTTTTCTGCACAAAAAAAAATCAGCGGCAATATGCAGATTGTAACTTCAATAACAGAAGATCTGTAACTGAGTAACTCCGATTGGCGTGAAAATGTAACACGTTGAAGCCCTATGTGTTGGGAACATCCTCTGAAAATTTCAGCACAATCCAACAGTCAGATATCTTGCGATGATCAAATCCGTGCGGGCTGTCCAGAAAATTTGCACTTTCAAACTCTGCACCTTGTTTTTTGTTTTTTCGGATTTGCTTCAGTTCTTTCGTATTTTTCCACCTCAAAACCCTAAGGGAGGGCAAAGATAATATATGAAATAGATAACCTTGTTAGAGTGTGATTAGGAGTCTCAACCATGGCTTCTTCCTTAAGAATAGCAAACCAAGTAGGATTAGAATTCAAGTAGGATTAGAATTCTTTTTTCAAGCTCTTTTCTCTTTCTCTTCCTTCACATGATAGGACTCTAAGTCTAGATAAAACATCTAAAATAGTTCTAGGTAAATCTATTCATTTGTCAAAAAATAATGCCAACACAATATGGAACTAACAGTATACAATTTGGTGTACCCCTATTGATGGTGTAAATTACACCAAAATGATGGTGCAAATTACCACCCGGGTAAACTACTTCAGACCGAGTCTAGGATGTTTTAATGAGTTTAGATATTGAAAGGACTCAATAACTAAAGATTGATCGAGAAGACTGTAAGTAGGAAAACCTGTAGTCCAATTGTTATTAAATATATGGGGAGTACAATGATGAATTACACAATAGGCTCTAGAGATATGAAATTCTGACCCCTTCTACTAAGGGTTACAAACCTATTTATAGTGAAGCTAGGGGACAGGGTGGCAGACACCCATGCCTGGCCAAGTGCTTGCCACATGATGACGTGATAGTTCTTTGTCTTGTAACATTTGTCCCTTACTAAATGCTTTCCCCTATGACTGTCCTCCTTGGCGCGTAGTGCTTGGGTGGGAATGTCTCGAAAAGTCTATTGATGCAGAGGATTCTAGCCTAGACCAGTCGCTTCCAAGCCGTTACTATCCAACCGTGCTTGGTTGTCATCACATGCAAGTCATTACAAGTCCCAAAAATGCTCCCGGTCAGTTCCTCGGCGGGCTTTCTTGCTCACTTGAGGATCCTGTGCGATGACAAGCTACCTGACCTGTCCCCAAGTAGTCACCCGGGTGGTTTCTTGAAAGATGTTATCTGATCATTCGAGGATCTGGCCGTGTTATGCTACTCAACCAGTCACCCACGGGTCACCCATGTGGTTAGGTTGGACCCAACACGGACTGTGGATACAATCGCCCAAACTACCCTAGTGCGCATTGTTTGGGCCTTGCCCGGTTGGTCTCATCTCTGTTCAGTCATGTTGGGTCATAATCATGTTAGTACACCAAGCCTTAGAAATCTACCCGGGTGGTTTCCTAAAGGGGATATTCTGATCATTCGAGGATCTTCCCTACAGTGTCATGCTACGTGATCGGTCGCTTGAAAGTCACCCAGGTGGTCTGTATCTAGGACCTGGTCATGTGCAGATCCACCCAAGCTACCCACTTGCGTATTATTTGGGTTTCACTCGGTTGCTCCTGGTTGGACCCGATCTGCGTCGTTGCTTGGATGGAATACACCCATCACTGGGTAAATACGATTGGATTATCGTGGTAGGTCTATTGTCATCGTACAAGAGTTGAATCCACCTGGGTGGGTTTTGGTCCAAAGCTACTTGGGTGATCTCTTGAAGGTATGTTATGCTTTTCACCCAGTCAAGTATGTTGCACCCGAGTAGTCTTTGAGTCACTCTGACCGGGTCACTACACTTTGCTCTCTCTACTACTGTATACATCGAGTAGGTGCATTACTTCCTTGGCATTGAGGTCAAGCACATCAAGAATTCCATTCTCCTCCATTAGACCTAGTACGCACATGATCTTCTACATCGGGCAAGAATGTCGGAATGTCACCTCGTCGTTACCCTTATGGCGGCTCGACCTGTAATCACGTTATATGCTCTTTTCAAGGATCCCTCTCACTTCTGCAACGTTGTTGGTGGTTTACATTATCTAGATGTTACTCGTCGTCTAGATATCTAGTATGCTTTAATCAGGTGTCTCAAGCTATGCACAACCCGACTAAACAAAATTATCATGCCTTGCAGTGCATTTTGTGATACTTACAAGGTACTCTTCACATTGGTCTTCTTTTTCGCAATGTGGGACTTGATCTATCTATTTACTCTGATCTGATCCGGTAAATGACAAAGAAGATAAAAAATCTACCACTGGTTACAAGCTCTTACTTGGCTCCAATCTTATCTCTTGGTGTACGAAAAAAGCAGGCATGTGCCTCTAGATCTTCCACTGAAGCTGAATATCGTGTCATGGCTGCAGGCGTTACCGAAGCCATGTGGCTGCGCTACATCACTGATGCTCTAGGCATATATTCCTCCATCAAAACCTTGCATATACTATGACAATGAGTCAACTATCTTTGTAACCAAAAATCTAGTTTTACATGACCGCATGAAGCATGTTGGTTCAGACTGCCACTTTGTTTTTTTAAATACTCAGCTTCTTCGGTTCCAAATTAATTGTTCTTTTTCGAGCAATATGCAAAATCCTATTTTTCTAAAAAATTATTTTATTTATAATTAATTGTTATAAAAATAAAAAATTTAAGTTACATATTTAAAAATTACACCAAAAGTTCTACAAAAAATAGGGGTAAATTTCACCCATGGTATACGAACTTTCATCATTATTTCACTTCGGTATGTAAACTTTAATTCTTATCACAAAAATACACGAACTTTCAATATTCTTTCACCAATGGTCCAATAGGCGGTTTCTAAGTCACCTTCAGGTCATTTGGGATCAAATTATAATTTTATAAATTTAAATTTTTTATTTTGACCCCTTTTCTTTTTTTTTCTCTTTGTTCTCTACCCTTTTCTTCCTCTTCTTCTAGACCCCCACCCTCCCCCTCCATTTTTTTCTTCTCTTCCTCTTCCAACCCCACCCCCACCCCACGGGCACCATTTTTTCTCTTCTTCCCCTTTTTTCTTTCTATCAAGCACACCCCTCCCCTTTTTCCTTCTTTTATTATTATTGATATTGTAATTATTATTATTATTACTAGATTTTAACCCGTGCAATGCACGGTCAAAATATTACTCATATAATAATAGTGATAATAATGATAATAATAACAATAATAATAATAGTATGTTATGTAAAATACAAATAATAAAGAAATCAGTATTACCAA